ATAAATTCTATGATTTTCAGTATAATACCAGACTTGTTAAATCAACGATAGTTCATTTTCAGGTAAATACAAACTCCAACTGGCTTTGCAGTGTTTCATGACTTCCAATTTGTTGGTAAATATTGTTTTGGTGGTTAGAGGGACACATCGGTGTTTTTCCTAAAACCCTGCCATGTATAATCCCTTCTTTCTTTTTTTTTTTTTTTTTTTTTTNATCTTTTTTGGCTTGATTTTATCCCCGTGTCCTAGTTTGATGCATTCTACACTTACTATTTATTTGGGTAAATATTTTACTCATTTTTGTACATTCTCATGTAATACATTCATCCATTTTCAGTAGGCAGTTTTCTACTTGAAAACTATTGTTGGTAATCTGAGTGAAGTAGCTGATTAGATGGCTATTTTTTTGGTCTTTCTGTTTTATATGTTAATCCCAGTGCTGTATTTCAACCTGGGGGTTATAAGAGAGTAGTTTTGCGGATGCCGTGCTTATGTACTGATGTTTGATATTTAATAGTAATATACTTTTCTAGCTAAATGTTGGATATTTGCAATCACTCTGCTTACTTTCAATACAGGATTCTCCTACAGCTCCTATTTTAGGATAAATCTTATGGCTGAGTCCAGAATTAAAATTTGTTCACTATGTTATTGAACATCTCAATTTTGATGTTGTATCACGACGATAACGAGTCTTTAAGTGGACTTGTGTAATTTTCTGAGCGGTTCTTTACCCCAAATCATTTAGAAGAAAAAATATCTTCTGTGCTCTCTATCTATGTAACTTTTGTTCTATTTAGAAAATATTTTTGTGCCCAGTCTTGAACTGGGCTTGCATTCACTGAATCCTTTTGGTGCAGATTGTTAACACTTGCCAAGAGTCGCATGAATAATTGTTTTAGAGGATCTGTTTTTGGAAGGTACGATGTTGAAATTTTTACCGTGCTGACTTCTTGGAGCCAAGTTAATGTAAATGGAAGCATTATGGTGAGCTTATTACTTGGCTACAAGATCATAAATTATTTATATAGCGATGTAGAATATTTGTCTCCTCCATGTATTGCTTGCTGGTCCTGTTTTATATCCTGTAGGACATTCTTTCACAAGAATCTGTGCAGGGCAACAATAATAATGGGCTGAACAAGGAAACTCTCTGAAGTCCATGGCGAGTAAAACTAGCTTTTCTGTTTGGAAAGAGTGTTGATTCAACACCAGTATACTCGTTACGTATCATATTTAGGACTAAAGGATTTAGCCTCTTGAAGTGTAGTTATTTTTTATAATGTGAGAAAAATTGCTTTTCATTCATTGACAAATGCTTACGCATCTACTTGCATCGAAGTAATCCCTGAATATTTCATTTAGTTGATATTCGCAAGCTGACTTAATGCTTTGACTTCTCTTTTAATACCTATCATTAAGGTTTCTTCTTTTCCATGTTTATGTTTCTCTTGCATAATGTTCACTCTGATAAAGTGTTAGGTTTTAGCGAGAGTTTATTAATCAGAACAGTCTTAATATCCCTAGGCACTACATGCTTCATGGTGATGTATTTATTATGTTCGAGCTTCAATTTCAAATAAAAAGTGTTTTTGTTAATTCCTTGTAGTTTAACCCATGGCATGGGATTGCTATGGCATTTTTATTTCAGCCTTAGAAGCTGAACTGCAGTTTTTTCTGAGCAGCTGGTGGATAATGGATCATTTCCATATGGTATGGTGGGAGAGTTTATGAGCTTTAGGAGGCATGGCATTACGTCTGTTTGTCGTCTTAGATTGAATTTGACCATCAATTTTTATGGTTCTCTATAGTTCGATTGTGTTCACAGCACAGGCACTCATTCTTGCATACCTTTGTTTGATTTAATCAATTCACTGTTGGACTTCATTTTCTGTGCATCATATATTAGAGATTAACCTAACTTTCTAGATCATAACACTTATATTTGTAAACCAAGGGAAATTCTGTCCATCTGCGTGGTGGTTCATCTGTAGCAGTCCATAATTACGGATGGTTTTGACTGTGAAGTATATGCTTTCTCAGTCATTTGTTGGACACCTGTTATCCATCTTTCCTCTTGTTCTGACATTATAGTGCTTTGGATGCATTTTTCTGTTGATTCTCATTTAATTAACTTAGGCATTTATTTTGGTCTTAATTTACAGTTTCAAATATTGTTTGGTGTTGTCACTTGTCCAGCCTCCCAAGTAGTGCATGATGAGAAATCTTACTCATAGCTCAAACTGACAAGCATTGGTTTTCTTCCTTTTGTTGCATTGCACTGTCAATTTCAATTCCAACACGCATCTGTTTTTATTGTTATACTTCTGTTTCGCATTGGTGGCGCTATATATGATCTTATTACGGGTTTTCTTCATTGTATTCAATCATGCTCAGTGGATTGTATTATGTTTGGGGTTGCATAATTTTCAGTTAAAATACTTGCACTGCTGACAGTTGGTTTTGGTTTTGACTCTGCTGGTTGTTTGTTTGGTACCTTGCGAAGTGAAAAAAATTGTCACATTTGAATTCTGAGTGCGTGTTTAAAAGCGACTCTGGTCTACATGTTTTTTTTTTAATGGTCTGGGGATCTGTAATGTGTCTCTTCCCCTCATTGTTTTACCATGTTTCTTGACATCGTGGCTTTTTGCTTCTTTTTGTAGCATTATGATTATGATTTTTAACTACGATTTGTTCACTTCGCAGCTGAGGAATCTCGTATGGGCAACCTCAAAGCATGATGTGTACTTGATGCAAAATTATTCTGTCATGCACTGGTCCTCCCTGCTCAGGCGGGGCAAAGAAGTGCTCAATGTTGCTAAACCTATAGTGTCATCCTTGGTATTTCCCTGCATCCAACTAAAATTAACCTCTTACTGCATTGATTTCATTGAACTTACGCTGGTCTTCAATGTATAATTTATCCTTCATGCAGAAAAATCCTGGATGCTTGGCGCAGCCTCTTTCTAGGGTTCAAATAAGCACAATGACTGTGAAGGAAAATCTGATGGTTGCAGGTGGTTTTCAGGGAGAGCTTATCTGCAAGGTAATTATATCATATTTTTTTTCTTTTTTTTTTTTGCAATTTTTCCACTCTATTTTTTCACACAATTCATTTTTCTTAAGCTCACTTGTTACTGCAGTATCTGCACCAACCTGATGTTGTCTTCGGCACAAAGTTGTCCGTAGATGAGAATGCCGTCACTAATGCTGTTGACATATATCACAATCCTAGGTACATACACTCATAACTGTGAAGCCCACGGGAATCATCTATGTTTTAAAAATCTAATGGTGATTTATAATTCGTCTGTCCAGTGGTTCACTGAGGGTAATGACGGCAAACAACGACGCCCAGGTCCAGGTCATGGACACCGTAAAATTTGCTTGCCTTGATCGGTTTACATTCCCGTGGTCTGTAAATGTAAGTAAACTACCACTGTAGTTGACACTTCCTTTTCCTCTTTTTGAGGCAAAGCTTCTATCAACGATTGTTATTTCCAAACTTCAAAACAACATTCTAACATTTAAAAAGAAAAAAAAATTGAAAATACCAAAACATAGGAAACTCTCGAGTCAACTAAACTAGAAATACAGGACCATAAAGAGAAACTTAACACTTATAAATCGTTGGACATCCAGAAGTTTGTTTTCTTTATTCCTTAACCGTTTCAGAGTGAAGAAGTTTCATTTATTTCCAGTATGCAACTTCTGGGTTTGTTCATATTTACTACAGAACACATCAGTGAGTCCAAGTGGCCAAATGTTGGCAGTCCTTGGGGACAATCCGGACTGTTTGATTGTGGATGCCCAGTCAGGAAAGGTGATAAGCATCTTAAAGGGTCACCTGGACTACTCATTCGCATCCGATTGGCGGCCAGATGGACGAATTTTGGCAACTGGCAACCAGGACAAGACCTGCAGACTGTGGGACGTGCGCAAACTGTCGGAGTCGTTAGCCGTGCTCAGGGGCAGGATGGGCGCAATCAGGAGCATCAAGTTCACATCCGATGGCCAATTCATGGCCATGGCAGAGCCTGCGGATTTTGTGCATGTGTTTGATGCCAGGTCTGATTATGGGTTGAGTCAGGAGATTGATCTTTTTGGGGAGATAGCTGGGATATCGTTCAGCCCGGATACGGAGGCCTTGTTCGTGGGGATTTCTGACCGGACATATGGAAGCTTGCTGGAGTTCAACCTCAGGCATTTTGACCATTATCTAGAGAGCGTGATTTGAATGTATAAACACATTAATGTGGATGTGTTATGTTTTTTTTT